GGGGAAGCAGCTAGTGCGGGGTTGCCTCACCCCGTTTGTAAGTAGGGATCTGATGTAAGTCGGATCCATGTAACCCGGGGACTGCCTGTATGTGCAAAGAAATGACTTTGGCATTGTAGGATTTGCAGGTGTTGCTAAATAGCTTCGGGCTGGTGTTACTTTTGGTTGATAAGACCCTTTAATGGTGCGAGACCACCTTTCTCTATACAATATGTCTGTTGGAGTGGTTGGTCTGTAGCTGAACAAGTGTGTATTTCCAGCTGTCTGTATTGAGGGTTGGAGTGGTGGTGGTGGTGGAGTCAGTCCCAGGATATTAGAGACAAGATGGCTGAGATTTTTGTTTTAAATGACTAAATTCTGAAAGGCTGAGACAACCTTTCAAGTTTCTGCAAAGCTCTTCTTCAGTATGTTTTCCTGACCTGAGGAAGAACTCTATGTAAGCCCAAAAGCTTGTCACTCACCAATAGAAATTAGTTTAATGGGGATTGTTAGCAAGGTGTTCTCTATTTCTTTTTAGTTCAGGATGGACCAAATCTGATCTTGAGGACATACTGCAAAAACATCTGTATTCTCAGATTTTGAAGGAGTGAAATATGATAAGAATGAGCCTTTTGAGGGTGAAAGAGCCTTTTTACATGTCTAATCCCCAGTTACTTTCCTTGACTATAAATTGGTGAAGCGACTGGATAGTTTGTGTTGAGGAATGCCTTTAATGTAATAAATGTACTTAGATTTTTTTCCCCATAGAGCTATTATATATAAAATAAATCTCAACATTACTTATGGACACACCCTAATTGTTACACTGTTTTGTTAAACTTTTTAAAAAATCATGAGCAACATACAGTCGAAGGAACCACATCAGATTCTAAGGTGGAATAGATTTGTCTATTGTTTGATAGGTCACATGCACCCCTTTCACTACAAAACAAAAAAACTTCCAAAAAGCAGAAACATTCTGGTTCAAAAGTAACCCTTCCACTGTACCAAGAGCTCTACTTTCACTTTGCATAATGAGGCTCTGTAGTTGGTGGGAACATGAGATGGGAGCAGTAGATTCTGAAATGACCTGGGCAGTCTAAACTTCTGAATGAAAGCTGTTGATGGAACCAGCAATAATGTCCTTATTCAAGAGGGTTTGTGGCAGATTCCTATAGGGACCATATGGCATCATGACTCTCCTAAAGAAGGGAGTGGACCACTAGGCTTTGCGGAAGTACTGGCCTCAATGCAGAAATCAAAGGGCATTTGCAGGTTTTTTGAAGGGATAAACCCAGCTTGCAGCAGGGGTAAAATCTGCCATTTGAAGCAACTTAAGAGGAAGGTCAAATTGAAAAGAGAAGTCTACATGGAATGCTTGTAGCCGAGTGGTAGCAATTATTGCTGCCCATACAAGCTATTGGGGCTCATATTTTAAAAGGGGACACTATCCCAGTTAAAATGCACATCTGGGATTTGACAGCATATGACAACTCAAAAGCTAAAAACGATCTAAGCCAACTGTTTAGATTACTCTGAACTCTATTAGTTTAAGTATTGCATCTGTTTTTTATTGCATGAAGTACAGTTGTAGCAGAAGTTGATCCCATAACAATATTACTTCACCCATCTTGTGTGTCTATTTTTATTGTAATTTTGGGGCCTTCCATGAGCTGAAAACTTTCATCTCAGAATTCAGATACATAAGTAGAGGAAGCAACATTGCTTTCAGCCCATTGTAATGGGCCTCTGGCCAGTTGAAACAATCTATATTGTATCAAACTTCTGGTGTATTTCTGCTAATTCCCATCCACTTCAAATTTAGAAGAGAATGATTTTGTAGGACACTTCTTCTCTGACACTCTTCTAAGTTATCAGGCTGGAATGCACACTAAAACAACTGTACCCTCAGGGCAAAGCCTGTTACACTTCAGACCGTGCTGCCCTAGAACAAGTGGTTCTGTTGCCATGCAGCATGGGAAGAGAAGTTGGAACTCTCTGTGCCTGGCACAGATTAGTCTGGCAAGTGAACTGAACTGTTGTTTCAAACTCCATAAGAGGTTTACCAGGGTCTGCCATGAGATGAAGAATAAACAGGAGGGAGCTCACTTCAGACTTTCTGGGGAAAAATTAATTATATGGCTGAAAGAATCTAAAAGATATATGGGAATCAATAGAAGAGGCAAGGAGTTGGGGCTGTTTAATTTGTCACTTGCCAGCTGTCCAGTGAAAATGTTCTTTTGTGTGGAGTTGGGTTTGGATTAGTCATTTAATACCTGCAGGCAAAAATGTAGCACAAAAACATGTGAAAATTGTTGAAGCAAAACTGTCCTGACGTCTGATTAGAAAATGCAGATAGCGTAAGAATGGAATTAGATGGTTTCAGCTGTAGTTTTATACTTTAAAGTATGCAGCTGACATCAATTAAGTAGCAAATGCTTATTGAAGCTCTTATGTGCTTCAGGCCTGGATCACAGTTTTATTCTTGAAGTTTTGTTTTGGGAGAAGACTAAAACAATTTTGAAACGGCCCTCAGTGGCATTGACTGCGTAGATTAGAATAATGGCCCTACTAGAGATCAAGAATTATGCTGAGATCAAGAATTGCTGGTAGGATTTTCATGGGACCTGCTTATTAACCCAGAAATATGCTTCTAAAATTAATAACTTCCTCTGTTCTTAAAACTATCTGCAGTTACCCATTGTTTAAGAACACCTTGATCCATTCTATTGTGCTAGAATTTAATGTAAATCACAACTAACAGAATTTTCACTAAAATATTGTACCAGTAGTCTATTTTGGGGAGGATTGTAACTGCCATGGGACATCTTTCTATTAATCCCAAGCAGGTGCTTTCAGAGAGACTTTAAATTTTGATTCTTCTCAGAGTAGAAGCATGTGACTACTTGCAAAACAGTAATTGGGTAGCTAACTATTTTAGTATGTATAGAGTTTATATTTGCTTCTGGGCATAATAGGATATTCAATCCAGAGTCTGAGGCTATGTCTACCTTGGCATTTTACAGGGCTACAACTTTCTGGCTCGGGTGTGAAAAAACATCTCCGCCTGAGTGCAGTAATTTACAGCACTGTAAAATGCCAGTGTGAATCCAGCTACAGTGCGGGGAGCACAGGTGGTTTACATAGAGTGCTGGAAGAGCTAATCTAAAGGGCTAAAAAGGCTAGTTTAAATTGCCAGATGTAAAGCACTGTCAGTTACAGCACTGCTCACACTGCAGTTCCAGTGACTTTAGGAGCAGTGCACTCTGGGAAGCTAGTCCACAGAGTACCTCTTCCTCTTTTGCCACAGAGGTTTGTAGGCAGGTGTGGGAATTCTGGGTTCTGTCCCAATGCCTCATGGAGCATTGCTTCACGTCCCAGCAACCCCTGTTTTTCTGTCCACATTTGGCTCCGTCTTTCAATGGTTCTTGTGCTGTGCCTTCCACCTTCTCAGTCTGCGGGAATGGATCCTGAACTGTTGAAGAAAATGCTGATAGGTCTCACTAACATGCCACAAATGAAGCTGCAAAGTGATGAGTAGTCCGTGTAGCGTTCATACGTCAGATTTCTTGTGGCATTCACAGAAGTGCTGACTACAGTGGAACACCGTTTTTGGACTCAGGAAACAAACATTGAGTGGTGGGATCACATAGTCATGCAAGCTCAGGATGACAAGCAGTGGATGCCATATGTCCCAGTAAGGGCCCCTTTTGGTTATGCATTTAAAGATGTGCCTGTAGGTATTATAATTCCTGTGGCTGGAATATGGCTGGGGCTGGATTGCCTCCTCTCCCAAACACTGATGAGATCCAGAACTTCAGCATGGCTCCAAGCAAGGGGTCTCCTGGTACGTGGAGTAGGCATGGCCAGCTGGAAAGATGAGCTAAGAATGCACCATGCGTTGCCGAGCAAACAGGAAGAAGACTTTCAAATTTCCAAAAACATAAAGGGTTGGTCTGGGTTAGTCACCTGAGAGCAGAGGATTTCCAAAAACATAAAGGGTGGGTCTGGGTTAGTCACCTGAGAGCAGAGCAGAAGAGTTGAAACAGATAACCAGAGAGTCAAGAACAGGCATTGTGGATGCCGAAGGCCATCCAGAATGCAGTACTATACCACAATATCCACACTGGCACCACAGTGCTCTATCCAGAGCACAGAAAGCTCTGTTTCTTGCAGAGGTTTACCTAGAGCGCACTAACAGTGCACACTTGTTCCACAAAGTGTCTTTGCAGTGTGGACACTGCAAAAGTTATAGTGCTGGGGACTGATTTATTGCACAGTAACATGCCAGTAGAGACGTGGCCTTAGAGTTAAAAGATTGAACAGACTAAGTGCAATAACCCATGGTAAAATTGAAGTGGACTAAATCACACATGCAAAGCTTGTAGTTTAAGTGAAGTTTTATTGATGAATTTTGAAACTCTCTTAAGTCTTATAATGAACAATATATTTGTTTTTATTGTAACAATGCTTATATATGCCAATAGCCATGAGATTAGTAGTTCAGATTAGCAGGTAAGTAGTTTAGTTTATATGTGGACGATAATATAACCAAAATACTGGAGACAACGTTTTCTGCTCTTGTAAAATGAACAAAAAGATAATGAATAAATCCAGATAAAAATCACAAGAACCTCCCAATTTACAAGACATCTGGCCAGCAAGCAAATCCAGTTGTCTCAACTCTTAACACAGACATGGTGTAATTAAACACTTTCCTTACCTTTTTATAAGAATTGACTTCAATTTTAGGGTCAAACTAATCACCTGGAAAAAAAGTCTCTTTTAGAAAAATAAACATATCTGAGTTGAAATGATCCTTTAACCTTTGAGTTTCACAGACTAACCCCTCTGCCCCATAGTTTGATGTGATGAAAATAGTATGGTTTTTCTGTTGGCATTAACTTTTGGAAACTTCAAAGTTCAAAATCATGTGTAATCACATTGAATAGAAGTTTAGAATGACTAATGCTTTATTCTTACAGTAATAGACTTGCGTGCACTCTCTCTTTCATGTATAGACCACTAAAGCATTCCTTCCCAAGATGCTGGAGATGAATCATGGGCACATCGTGACAGTTGCAAGCTCCCTGGGTTTGTTCAGTACTGCTGGAGTGGAGGTTTGTTTAACTATGTAGAAAAATCACATGTTGCTTTGTCACACATGATAAATGCCTTTTCCTGTTGTCAACAACGTAGCATAAGTAGGTTTGGAAGGATTCAGTTTTTGTCAGTAAACGTAAATTTCACTGTATTCACACAAACTAATAAAAAGACCTGTCGAATTACAAATAGGCAAAATCGTAAAAATATTGCTCAGGAAAAATATTTGTGTATTTTACAGATATTTACTTGTCTTTTGACATGTGATGTTCACAATTTGTTTTAACAGTTGCAAAGCTTTAGTTTATTTGAATCTCAATATCATTAAATAATTGGTCTGACTGCCACTGCTCAGTTTTCTACAACTGTGAAAATTTAAATAAAATGAAACTCACAATAAATGCTTTAAAACAAACCTCAGTATTTTCCACTAAAATTATCAAAACAGTAAATATTGAATTCTGCCAAACCTAACCATCCTCTATGGAGGAAAAAAAATTGCATTGGCTTCTTTTTATTTTTTATTTTTGCCCACTTCAGTTTTACTGACTGTATTCAGAAATAATTCTTTAATGTCTTTGGTGGGAAAAAAAAATTAACTAGCAGATTGAAAGATCTAGCAGAAGTCTCTTGTGAAAACTCCATATAGGCTCACACTGAACATCTCTAGTAGGGATGTTAAAAAATGTTTGTTTTTTGTAAACCTGTAATCACTGAAATTTTCAGCAGTTACAGGTTTACACACAGGGGGGCCGCCCCCTTTCTCATGAAGTCAGCAGCAGAGGGTAGGTGGCTCTACAGGAGTTGGCAGGTGTAGGCTGCCAGCTTAAAATCTAGCTCCCCATGCACACTGCCCCTCCTACTCTCCCCCCCCTTCTGATACAGAGCAGCGGGGGGGGGGCATGTAGTTAACCAATGAGCCCAGTTGTACCGTGTGTACCTGTAGACTTTCATATCCCTAATCTCTGAAGTACCTTCCTAAGGCTAGGTCTAGACTAGACCTAGAAGGTTGGCTTAAGAGGCATAAATCCAGCTATGTAAATAACATAGCTGGAGTTGATGTACCTTAAGATGAGCTTGGCACAGTCTTCATAGTGGGAAGTTGATGGAAGCAAATGTTCTCATCACACAGTCTTCATAGTGAGAAGTTGATGGAAGCAAATGTTCTCATCAGCTTCCCTTATCCTTGTAACCACGAGGAGTACTGGTGCTGACTGGATGTGGCCTCAACGTTCAATTTAGCAGGTTTTAACTAGTATAAGTGTAGACATGGCCTCAGAGACTGTAGATAGAAACCACTGCCAATGCAATGTACTGTAAATCAACAAATGCAGTGTCCAAAAGCACCATAGTTGTATAGTTGCTAGTGTGTGCATTGTCACAACATGTATGATTGGGGGGTATAACAGTACCCTTCATTCATGTCTGAAGGGTAAGCATAAGTGTCTTAACACTACATTTGGAGTTTTTAGGACAAGATTTTTAGGAGTGACAATTGACTTTTTTGGGTGCCGACCCTGAGACCTCTTAAAGGGGCTTAATATTTCAGGAAGTGATTATCACTGATCTTGATTGGGCCCCTCAAACCAGCATCAATTTTGAATCTTGGCCTTTTTGTAGAACCTATGTTGGTGCATCAGAATAAGTAATAAGATTTTAGTATACTGCAGTTGTATTGGGAGCCAAGGGGTTGGAAAGCAACGAGCATGAGCTAAAGCCATGCCATTACAATCATAGCAAATAATTATAATCACTGAAAATTAATCCATTTGGCCAGCAAAACACTGGCAACACTCGAGAGTTGTAGAAGCTTTTCTGGGGGCTGGCTCATTAATATCTCTGAATTAACAGGAGTCCCTGACTAGAAGTAAAACATAACTTGGGCATAGCTCTCAAGACTTCATGATGGATTCTAGGACCCCATCTTAAATGTTTCCAGTGTGCTCATATATGGCCTAGGGAGTATGCTTGAACTCATCATTAGTCTAGTATTTCTCTACTGGATGATCCTAACAGAAACTTTAGTATTGAAGCTATGTACAGTACTAGGTAACTCTTGGCCTTCAATCCACATAATATCTCAGAGAGGAAAGCTATATGCATCTTACAGTTGAGAAACTGAGGCAAAACTTAAAGTAACTTGCCCAGGGCTCCATAGCATTTTAAGTGATGTGCTAAAGTTAGAGTTAAAAATAGGGAGTTTCTGGACCAAGGACTATGCACTCTCAGAACCTGACTCTAAAAGTAGTGTCATTAGCAACTGTGTCTCTTGTTCTAACCTTTGTTTTAAGCAGTCTGGCTTGTCAGTATAGTTTTGCTGAATAAGGCCACTTAAATACACTTCAAAGGGCATCTCCTTGATATTTAATTCAAGTTTGTCTGCTTTGAGTTCTTGTGTTAACTGCCCTAAAAGTAACGTGATGCATGGATTCTGATATATCTTTCATTGTGTTGCTGCTTTGAAAATAGATCTGCAGAGCCACATCAAATATGGCTTTCCTTTTTAATATTATTTACTCTGTTACATCACCTTCAACTTTGAAGAGATAAAAGGATAGTCTCATTCAATCCGTTATACTCTTCATGGTGATATATTCTTCTTTTATTCATTGCCTATGTAGGATTATTGTGCCAGCAAATTCGGAGCTGTGGGTTTCCATGAATCTTTGAGCCATGAATTGAAGGCTGCTGACAAAGATGGCATTAAAACAACCCTGGTCTGCCCTTATCTTGTAGACACAGGAATGTTTAGAGGATGTAGAATCAGGTGAGTAGACCCAACAGCATATTCTTTCTCCCTTCTGTCTTCCACACCACTGGCACTCTCTTCTTTAATACTTTAATTCTGAGCACCTTTTTTTTTCCCCCCAAACAAAACACAAAAATATTGAGGTTTGGGTTTACAAATTAGTAGGAAAGGAAAAAACAGGTAAAATGACAACTGCAGTACCTTTGTTCATTTAACTACTGCTACTCACTGAGAAGAAAGATGAGTGTGAGTTGAAACACATCACTTCAGGGTAGGTGCTGGTGCAGTGTATGTCCAGTTACTGACTTCTAATGGGAAATAGTCATGTGTAGAGAAATGTATCTGCTGTGTAGTGTACTGTTGAATTTTTTCCTCATGTCATCTATTATGCTGGAAGTAAAATGTTAGTCAAAATAAATTTATTCCAGTACCTCAAAAGTTCTAGTGATTTTAAAAGCTTATTGACTCATTATCCATAATCGCAAGAGCTGATTTTGCTGTGTGATCCTTAGCAAGTTGAATTGTTTCCCTCAAGTTCATCTTCCGTTTTTGAAGTAAAAATACTTGTCTATTTTTTTTCTTAAAGCTCTCTGACATCCTTGGTTGTAGTGCTATAAACATATTCATTACTTTATCTATGGTAAGTGGTGTTCATCTCCTGTGTGCATTTTCTAACAGTAGTCCTAGAAGGGATCTGTGCCAGGAAAAATACTAAGTTTGTCTTTACCTGAAGCAATTTTTCATACACTTAATGAAGCTCTTAATATTGAATTACAATGGTACTTAATTTGATCACATGTTCTTCTATTATGTGTGAAAAGTTGGTGCTACTTGAGTATTAAAGAATTAGGTTTAGATACTCTAAAGAAGTAAGCTAGACAAACTCCACTTTGCTTTATTAATACCTATTACCAAAATATGTACTATTGTCAACCTGTTTTTAAAAATGAAATATTTCAGAAAAGAAATTGAACCTTTCCTCCCACCTCTGAAGCCAGACTACTGTGTAAAGCAGGCTATGAGAGCTATCCTCACAGATCAGCCTATGATTTGCACACCTCGCTTGATGTACATGGTAACCTTCATGAAAAGGTATCTTTTGAAATACTAGCTATTAAGCACTTCAGACAAATGTACAGCTTTAAATCCAAAAAGCTTAGTCAGAGGCCTGTTTCCCTGGATTTCTATGCATGGATCTCTCATTTTATTCACGAGATCACTTTCCACAACATGAGCTGCATGGATCTGGGGACTTGTATGATGAGTGGGATGGCCAGGAGACATTTATTTTTCTCTGTTTACTTTTCCTGAGGCTCCACTAATTTCACTGCAATCATCTTTCACACTGTAGAACTCCATTTATGGGAGGGTCCTGAGATAGCTACCAGAAAAGAATCTGTAGTAGCCAATTCCAGAGTTGATGCGGAGGCCCTAACCTCATACACATTCCCTGGGATCTGCACAGATCTTGTGGGAGAAGGGGAAAATCTGCAGGCAAAACCTACTAATCACTTTAAAAGTTCAGGGGAACAGAAACCGTCCCTTCTACTTACCCAGTCGAGTGATTTTTTTTTTTTTTTTTTTTTTTTTTAAAGTGCTGGGGCTCTGTTCTCTGTAGCTAAGCCAGCCATTCCAGCACTGCTCAATATTAGGGGCAGAACCAGATCAATTGCTCATAAGGAGTTGAATAGATTCCACCCACTTGAACAATGTTCCATTCATGCTGCTTTTTGACAGATCTGCCGATGATCTATTCTTAGATTTAATCCAGTATGCAGCACATCGGAAACATGTTTACAATTTGGCAAAGTTCCTTTTTTAACCCTTTCTTGCCTTCTTGTGAGGATTTTGGACTTAGTTTATTTGTAACACAACAGCTCCCCTTTTCCTGAAGTGAACAAGCATTAAGCATGCTGCTTCTGAGATGTATTGTTCTTCGGAATCATGTCCAACCTTCTTAAGAGGGAGACTGTGCCTATCGTAACAAGTAGGAAGCTTTATCTGCAAATCCTTTACAATGGGCTGCAGCAGCATGCTTAGTGGTTTCTTCTGAGTCTGCTTCAGTGCTCAGAAGTTGCACAGACAGTGCTCCATGCAGCATCAGCAGCCAGATCAAAGGCCCTTCCTGCTGTCTCCCATTCAGCACTCCAGCTTTCCAACAGGGAGATCAAAGGTCTTGCCAGCAGCTTCTGTGCAATTCACACCCCAGCCAGCAAGTTAGAGCTAAGGCTTTTCAGTGTTACTGCACAAGCAATGCTACCAGCAGCAATAGAACCTGCATCCACAACATCTACTTCCCAGTTCTCCAGCAACGGAGGAGTTGAATTCTAAGAGCTCAGATTCTGCTGTGTGCCTCATTGGTCCCGATCTGACAGTCATTCAGCTCCCCAACAGCTTACTTGATACTTAAGTGTGGTCGGGTCCTGGTCCATGACTAGGGTTTCTGGTTGCTATAGTAATATAAATATGTATAGGTGAAAGAAGGGGTGTAGAAAGCCTGTTTTCCCCACTGGAATTTCCTTGGAGAAGACTGTGGGGAACCTGACTCCTCCTTATTCTGGAATACCTTCTATGGGAGGGATAATTAGGCCCAAAGGACAGGGATATGTATTGCCAGAGACAAGAAGTGATTAAGCTAATAGTTATTGCACATCTATACTTCTACAGTTGTTTGGGTGTCTTGTGTCTCAACAAAATAAGCCATTACACATTAACACTGCTTTGAAGGGAGGATTAGATTTTAGCAAACTTTTTGTTACTAAACAAAAAAGAGACAGAGGCAGCATCCGTTAGGTCACAAGGCGGATGTAGGGGTTCCATGCTAAAGTCTTGAAAATGAGTAGGAGATTAAAAAAAGAGGCTAAGTAGTTTGAGCTGGCTTGCATTTTTATTCTCTTCATAAATATCGTAGTGAAATGAGAAACATAAATGTTTAGCCCCTTCAATAGCCCAGAAATGGCTAAACTAAGTTTCCAAAAAAGTGATCATGGTACAGAATAAGTTTCATTCTACTACCATATATCAGATTTGTAACCTTTCCCCTTTTTCTTCAGCATCTTGCCCTTTGAAGCAGTTGTGTGCATGTACCGGTTCTTGGGAGCAGACAAGTGTATGTACCCTTTCATTGCTCAAAGAAAACAGGCTACAAACAACAATGAAGCAAAAAATGGAATTTAACACTTTTATATGGACTGGCATTTATAGCTGACTATAATCAAAAATGTTACATGACTGAATTTTGAAGTGCACTTGCATCCAGCTGATGCAAATGTCAACATTTTGCTGTGGCATTCTCTTCGATCTTAAACCTGTGTATTGTAGTTACAAAAAATCAATGGGTTTTTTTTACATGCTGTAAATAAACTGACTATAGAGTACTTGGAAAATGTGATAGGTAAAGTGAATCTAAAATGTAGCTGCCATTGTCCTTTAGACTATTACTGTATGTACAGTAAAGCTAGTTATACTACTTTTTGTAGAGATGCACTGTGTGAAATCTTTTCCTCAGACTGCCAATGTTTAAAAGCTGTTTACAGCTAGAAGATGCAGTGTTTCAGAAATTGCTTTTTCTTTCTCTATGTATTAAAACAAATTCATGCAATTTAAACTACTCCTACATGTGACCATTTTAGCAAATTCAAGGACTGATTATGAATGCATCTTTCCACATGCTAACCTAAGCTGTAAAGGATTCATGGTCGACCTGTGGTATAATTCTCTTAAGTGGCGACTGCATGCCTTCTGTATTTAAAAAGGAATTTGTAAATCTCCAATTCAAAGGCATATAGATGTCCTTGGAATATTTTCAGAGAATATATTGGGCATCCTGAGAAATGCAGTCTGTGGCTTAAGCCATTCGACTTTTTCAAATCATTTGATTTGAAATGTGCTCTGTGTTCTGTCCATCACTCTGGATGGCAGACTCCTACCCTAGGAGACTACATTTTTCTTCCTCCTTAATCTTCCTTCCATCATCCCCACTGCACCTGCACAACACCCCCCACCCCAATCTCCCAAGGAAGTTGTATTAAATTTCTGTATCTGGGCTCTTGCCTAAAATACAAAGCAACTCCAGCAGAGTTACAAATTGTTTATGTAAGTTCTGGTTTTGTGCCAACACATTAGCAAAAGAAAAAGAAACTACTGCTTGACGCATCTTTTATGTGTGGAATATGGAAGGGTGCAAAGACTTTCAAAAAATTGTATTTGCATTGTAGAATAGCAAATGACATTTTTACAGTATTTTTTGTAAAGCAAACAATATTGTGCCTTGAATTTGGTAATTTGTGTGTTAGTGAAATATTGTAAAAGTGAACTTCTACCTCTGTATCTTAATGTATATCATTCACTTGTAAATTGCTATCAAATTATGTGATTACTTTTTTAGAATGTCTTGTTAAATAGTGACCAATGTTTGTTTATTAAAGTGAGCCACCTTTTACTTAAACCATGATTGGGCAGTTTGCTTGAAGTGCTTATTGATCTCAATGTTCTAATTTACTGATATTGGTTACATGGCCTTTAGCATTTACATAGTTCAAATAATTTGAACTCATTTCCTGCACTGACTTGCTGCATGTTATAGAACCTGATGGTACAGCCCTTAATAAAGGCAATGAAAGTCCTGCCTGGGTGAAGACTGCAGGATTAGGCCTCTGGTGGAAGTGTCTCAGTGATCAGATGACTTTCACTAACTAGTTACAGAAGCACTCAAAATCTGTGCTTACAGTTTGTCTAAACAATCTTAGTTTTAGTTTTTTGGCAGCACTTTATCTCCATATTGATAGACAATACCTTTAATCCCCTAGGGTGTATAAAGTTATAACAATATAAAGGATGCTTTTGTCTTTGTGGGTGTGTCTAGACTACATCCCTTTTCTTGAAAAAGGGATGTAAATTAGACACTTCGAAATTGCAAAGGAAGCTGGGATTTAAATTTCTTTCACTTCATTTGCATAATGGCAGCTACCATTTTTTGACACAGGGCTTTGATAGAAAAACGGCAGTTTAGATGGGGATCTTTTGAAAATAAAACCCTTTTTCGAAAGATCCTGTACACCTCAAAAAATAAGGCTTACAGAATCTTTCAAAACGGTTTTATTTTCAAAAGATCCCTGTCTAAATAGAAAAAATGGCAATCGAAAAGCCCTATGTCAAAAAAAAAAAACCCACAGCCGCCATTATGCAAATGAAGCAAGAGAAATTTAAATCCTGGCTTCATTTACAATTTCGAAGTGTCTAATTTACATCCCTTTTTCAAGAATTTGCATCCCTTTTTACACACCCTAAATTATTTCATTCAATGTAATGCCAATAAGTATCTTTATATACTGTTATTGCATGCATACTAGGGCTTGTACTGTGCTGATTAATGCTACTTTGTTTAGAAATTAATACACTGGGTATAGACTAACCTTTGTATCAAATCCCCCTATATAAACTATCAGGTTTGTTTTTTAAAGTGCTGGGGTTTTTTTTGTTTGTTTGTTTTTAAGGCTATACTGTATTTGGTATACCTCAATGAATTTACCAAATCTGCTTAGAGAGAACTTGTATTTTCTGTAATGGTTACATTGTAAGTAAAAATTATTCTTTGTGATAGTGCCTTCAGAAAGGAACTGGCTTAAGCTTTTACTTAGAGCTGCCAGGAATTATATAGCTATATCAGAATGAGCTGAGGGCTGTTTTTTTCTGGAATCTCTCTCTTTTTTTTTTTTTTTTTTTTTTCCTGTAGAATCTGCTTGTGTATTTCCCTCATTTTCTGGCTGTGGCGTTGTAAGTTTGATATTTAAATAGTTGCTTGCATACTTGTTCTGGAAGTTCTCTTAAACACCCTCCCATGTTACTTTTATTTATTTTCTTGTCTGAATGACACTAAAAGAGTCCAGTGATCATGTACAAATGGCAATCTTTTAAAGTTTGAGCCATGAAGGGTACCTGACCATTGTGATTTGAACACATTCTCTCCCAAAGCAGACCCTCATTAACAAAATGCTCCATATGAAATAGCAGCTGAGCAACAGTTCAGAGACTCACTTGAGTTCAAAAGATGGTAAATAAAACTGGCTGTCACAAAAGTAAACTCAGCTTACTCTTTTGCTCTGAAATGCTCAAAACAAAACTGAGATTTGGGAAGCAGTAGTTGATGAAGGAATCTGATCGTAATAAAGCTCTGAATTCCAAATTCCAGATAAGGAGCTAGAGTGCCACTCTTTTCTTTCAAAAAAGCTAGAATGATCAATGTTTCCAGGACAGGGGAGTCAGCAACATGGTGCTAAATAAACAAAATCCTAATTAGTCTGGTGTGCTTCAGCATAGGTATATGATGGGGGCCAGGGAGAATCCTTTTCCATACAACTCTCAGTATTTTTTTTTTTTTTGAGTATTTGGTTTTTGTGTTTTTGCTAGTCTAAAAGAAAAGACATGAACTTGCTTAAACCCTAACATTACTTAAACATAGATTAAAAATAGTTATTTTAAACAACCACAAAAGACTACAGTACTTAAGTTCTTACTTTTTGGCTTTCTGCTGATGCTATATAATAAATAAATCTTTACCATAAAAAGCTCCTGAGCTATAATATGGGGCACCTAGATACTAGGGCAAAAGTAGGGATTAATTTAGTTGTTTCCCTCTTCCTAGACTATGCTACTTACAATTAATATTAGTCCAGGCTCTATTTCCAAAAAATAGAGTCCTAGCTAGAAGGCACATACTATCTTATTTAAAGCCATGTTTTCAACAAACAATGTGCCTGACCAAGTGCTTATGGGCATTAGATTACTGGACCCTTTGTTTCCTAATCCAGTTAAGAACTCCTGCATGATGAGACCTGGTACTAACTAAAGCCTTGTCATCAGGACAGTTAATGGTCTTATCTAAGAAGCCTCTGGGGAGCTTTCATTGGTGGTTGGGGGAGGGTGGAGATTTACAAAGAGACTAACATGAGAATACATCCTGTGAAATCTAGTTGCAGTTTACATCCATTTATAGTAGGGGGCGGGGAACTTTTTTTAGCAGTCAGGAGCCATGCACAAGTGAGAAGCAAAAAAAACAAAAACAAAAAAACCACCCAAACCTTCACTGACATGGTCCTTGACTGAGAATGAGAAAGATGCTCCCACATTCCTCTCATACACCAAAGCCTATGGGGGCCCAGACTAGTAGATTTTGTATACTCCAGCTCCACAGAGGGGAGGGGAGGCTGGAGCATCAACACCGGCTCCCCAGTGCTGGGGGGGAGGGGATGAGCCCACATCTGGCCCCTGAGCCTTAGGTTCCCCATCCCTGGTTTATAGGATATCTACAGGTGGCCTTAATCATCAAAGTTCCCACTGTTACTGGTTCAGCTCTGGGGGTGATAGCAACCTTGAGACCACTAATTGTACATACAAAAGCAGATAGATAGCATGGTACTTAAAAATAACTAAAGCCTTGTCATCAGGACAGTTAATGGTCTTATCTAAGAAGCCTCTGGGGAGCTTTCATTGGTGGTTGGGGGAGGGTGGAGATTTACAAAGAGACTAACATGAGAATACATCCTGTGAAATCTAGTTGCAGTTTTTACATCCATTTATAGTAGGGGGCGGGGAACTTTTTTTAGCAGTCAGGAGCCATGCACAAGTGAGAAGCAAAAAAAAAAAAAACCACCCAAATCTTCACTGACATGGTCCTTGACTGAGAATGAGAAAGATGCTCCCACATTCCTCTCATACACCAAAGCCTATGGGGGCCCAGACTAGTAGATTTTGTATCCTCCAGCCCCACAGAGGGGAGGGGAGGCTGGAGCATCAACACCGGCTCCCCAGTGCTGGGGGGGAGGGGATGAGCCCACATCTGGCCCCTGAGCCTTAGGTTCCCCATCCCTGGTTTATAGGATATCTACAGGTGGCCTTAATCATCAAAGTTCCCACTGTTACTGGTTCAGCTCTGGGGGTGATAGCAACCTTGAGACCACTAATTGTACATACAAAAGCAGATAGATAGCATGGTACTTAAAAAATGACAGCTAACTCAGCTCAGAGCAGGTCTATGTATAGTCAGGCTTAAAATGATGGTTGCTGCCAAATTCTTCACTAGCACAGCTATATGAAAAAAAAGCTGTGTGCAGACTAGACCATGGCTGCCAACAGAAGAATCTCAAATGAGAACAGGTCCTAAAAACCAGGAGTCTCATTTCCTTAATATCCTCTACCCAAATAACAAATGTCAGCTTCTAACTGCTTGGTATGGTTTAAAATGAAATCTGTTTAGTGATTGCTCTTTTCACTTCATTTCCAAAGTTACAAACGTGACCTGCTCTGTGGCTGTTTATCACTTACATGAAAGTTTCATGTGTTGTTGACATACATCTTTTAGTATGTGCAAAATAATGCACTTGGTCACTTCCAGGGGCAGTTGGGAATGTCTGAGGAATGCTGAAGTTGGGGAAAGGTGTCAACTGTTCAACTGGTTAGATAAAGGGTCTCTCTCAAGAATACTTTTATGACATGCTACAGGAAACTGATGAATATCAAGCCAAACAAGCAAATTCACTAGTTAGGGAGAAAGGCCTACATTTATCAAAACCTCCAAAGACCATAAAATGCTTATAACCCTTCTGATGGTAGTAATTTTTAAAAAATAATTTGAAAAGTATTTTAATAAAGGGAGCTTAATTTATAAATCTGAGTGCTTATCAGCTACACAGTGCTAATGACAGTGTGATTTGTTCCCTTGAGAATACCTCAAAGAGAGAGGTGGTTATTTGAACTGATTGGCTTGCATCACTTCCTAACAAAAGTCAAGGTAGGGGGTGAGAAATGCCACACCCAAAGTCTCATGGTTTTGGTTGAAGTCAGCAATTATTCTAGATTAAGGAAAGCAGAGGCTCCAGTAAGCAGCTGTCCTTCCTCCCTCTGAATTTTTGTTATAAATATTTAGTCTCATTTGAAGGGGTGCCTCATTTAGAAACCTGGACTATCTAATGAGAACAGTTGGGTCTGTGAAACCACCCTTTTTTACTGAAGGGGCAAAAAACAAATGCAAATCCATAACCCATATGCTTGTGAGACATATGTCTCTTGTATTCCAGAAACTGCATTTTTTTTCTTTCCCTTTTCTTCTGACGCATGAACAGTCAGATGTGGAGATGCTTTCAGTGTTCCTGGGATCCACCTTTGGAAGCTGAGCCTTTGTTACTAAACATTTGGACTTGGACCTAGAATTATTCTCTCATTTGGGACCCATTACACAATCTGCTGCCTTGAAAATTCTTCAACTAAGTAGCCTGTGGGACTAAGAGGGCTGGGAAGCAGTGAAACTAATACAGCACTCTGGGCCAGAGGGAATGAGACAGAGTAAAAGCTAAAGCCCCACTGGGAAAATCATTAATCTCAGATTGTACAGCTGCTGTAACTTCCTGTTCCATCATTGCCTGGAGTTCTTCCTCCAGTTGCTGAAGATAA